TCAAACCGGTGACTTGGGACACCATAAATCTCCCAAGTGGCGACTCTGAACTTCTTAATAAATGAATCCCGTTTCGATTGTCCTTTAATTGGAAAAACTCCCTTTATTATACCCCTTCTCGGGGTGTAGTAGCGAAAAAGGAGGTGTGACACTAGCTACTCAAGATGATGAAGAAATCTCAAGCTGACTAGGTTCCCCGAAGTGTTCAGGAACAAGACCCCTCCAAACATAAGGAGTAGCAGCAACCTCGTATAACGGTGAACATGATAATCCGGTGTATCTCCATCGATGTCAGTACATTCTCATCCTGTAGCCGGAAACTAGTAAGCCGATGCAGCATGTCCAAGTACTGCACACCTATCATGACTCTCATGCCATGCGGCAGAGCAACGAGGTGTCCATCAACGGGCAGCCCATATAAAACCTCCACGTCCTGCAGTGTGATGGTGGCCTCGCCAATGGGCAGGTGGAATGTGTGCATCTCCGGTCGCCACCGCTCTATCAGGGCCGTGACCAAAGACCAATCGAGCTGCAGTCGCCCGATCTTCAAAATCCTGTAGAAACCCGTCTCCCGTAGGCGTGTGAGTACACGGGGATAGAGAACTCTGTCATGCAGAAAGTCCCACATGTTGTCCACTCTCCAGACGCGGAGAGTCTGGGTCAGTAACTCTCCCTCCACTACTAAAAAATGAGCCTATTGCAACAGTTGTTTAGTAACAGTTATAGAACCGTTGCTATAGAGCACATATAGCAACGGTTATAACCGTTCCCGTATAATGTGGATGATATTAGCACACTTTTGATATAAAATCGTTACCATTGACATTAAACCGTTGCCATAGCACATTTTAACGGGACTGTTTAGAACGGAATTTTGGGAAAAGTTATAACGGAACGGTTTTTCTTATTCCCTCCTAAAATTTTGTTAAACCCGCCAAACAATTTTTTTTTGTTTTTTTAATTAATTAGAAAAATAAAAATATAAAGTGTCTAATTTAATTACTCCATATACAGAACTGTCGACATCCCCAAAGTCCCAAAACCCCTAATCGCGCCTCCACCCATCTCCGACCAAAATCTCCACCATCTTTCAGCCATTAAACTTCCACCAAAGCTCCATGGAAAAGGCCACCTTCTTCTCCTGTTAAACCAGCATCGATTGCTCGAAGAAAACCCATATTTTAATCTCTCTGTTAGAGACAACGAAATTGCATAAATCCTTTTTGGTGATATCCGACTGCTCAACGGATAAATTGTTGGCGTCTGAAGCTCCAAGGAAATAAAGAAACTAACATCATTCCAAGACTTAGGATTTGAGCGGGTGAAATCACAGGTACTTTCTATCTCTCAAGTTTTTCGCCTACTTTTTTTAATGGGTTTGTGTAAAGAGGGTTGCTAAAGGAACGATAAAGAATTTTTCTTCTTTTTCTGTTGTGGGGTTTTCTTGAATTTAATATTTTTGGTTGTTGGAGGAAGAAAGATGTGAAATTTCTGTTAGTGGTGGAAGTTGGAATGTTAGAGATTTGAATTTTTTAACCTTTTCGATACGTGAGTTTGAATGAGTTAATGGATTAGCTGGTTTGAGATTTTTATGGAATTACTTTACCTAGTTTGGTGCTTGGTTTAGTGTTTATTGTTGTTGTATTTCTTCCTTTTATAAGTACAGAAAAATAGGGAAGGAAATAATCAGAGTAATGTATGCCAAGAAGGCCTAGAGTCTCATTTTTGCTGACTATATTATGATTTTAGTTGTACTTAATCAACTGTTCTTCAGAAGTAAAGGTTCTAGACAAAGTCACAACCTTCTGCTTATAAGTGAGGTTGTCATTATAAGTCTAGTCCAATGATGTTTATGAACCCTTCCTATGTTATTAGATTGAGAAAATTGTGTGCTTGGATCACTATGTTGCTTGTAAAGATCTATACTCGTAGCCATGTGTAATCCCAATCTTCCCATACTGTCATGTTGCACTCAAATGAATGACCCCTATTAAGGGACTTGTTGATGTTTCTCATGCTAAGACTTGATCATTTTCCCATGTCATCTTGATAGAATGGAACTAATAATCTTTATATGTGAAGTATCATGTATTAGACTTTTGTTAACTTTTTAATGTAACACTACTTCCTGCTTAAATAAACTGATTATAGCCTGCTTATNACAATATTTAATTATTAAATATTCACATATGAGTTCCGGGCTCGATATTTGCGGCCCAGTAGCACCAATTATATGTTGACTATAATTGGATAGAGTTTGTGTTTGATCTATCAGTTATTTTGACGTATTTTTGAGTATAAGAGATACTTAAACTACAGGAAAACTACGCACTACTTAAAAGGCACTACATTTTACTACGCTAAAAGGCACTACATTTTACTACCCTAAAAGGGCATTATATTACTAGTCTTTAAGCAAATAAATAATATAAACCAGATAAAAAATAACAAATACATTTAATCACAAAACATTCACGAAAATACATATACAACAGTAAAAAAAAACTTAACATTTTTTTTAACAAATAATAATAATTTCTCAGTTTTTACATATTTTTTTAGCACACTAATATCTAAGTCCGGATAAAAATAACATACTAGTTTAATCGCAAAAAAAAAATACAAAACAACATAGAACACATGTAAAACAACTAATATGCATTTTTTATACGAGTTTCGACAAAAATTAAATCGAAATACCTCGATTTATGTTTTTTGGAATGTTGAAGAATTGAAAATTTTAGTCCAAAACGAGCAACCACAACGAGAGAAGGCCTTAGCTAGGATGTGGGACCAACGCTATTTACTTTTTATAGGACGGAAGGGGTCCACTCGAGTTTTTAATCTCGTTAATGGGGAGGGGGGGTGGACCGCTGTTCTATATTTAAAATTGGGGTTCTGGTTTTTGAACGTGGGGGAAGAGGAAAAGCGCAGTTCACTAAGGCGTTTTATGTAAAACGTCCTTTTAAACCACGTTTTAACTAAACGTCCAATCAGCTTCAGGTAAAACGTGGTTTGAAACTGCATTTTATATATTTTGGTCACTAAGTTTTTTTCCTCACCTATTTATGTCTTTTGAGTCCAAATATATTTTTATCTTCAAATCAAACTTCACCCAAATCAGATTTTTCAAAATAAATTTAGGATCTATAGCCAAACGCTAGCTTAATATTGAGTTGTTTTCCATTTTTCAAAGCGTGCGGGGTTGGTTTGTGAAAGTGGTTTGACTTAATTCTCTATTTTCTCCTGAATCATTATTGAGATGCATCATTGGAGAGAGAATGAAAAAAGCAGCTCTGACGGAAAGCTGTTTCCCATTTTGTTTCAATACTTTATAGTAGTAATATTTTTTTGCCTTATCATAATAATAATAATAATAACAACTTGGGATAATCCTTTTGGGTTGGTCCGATGATAGTAATTTGACTTGGACTCTGATTATTCTGCTCAAATTTCATTAATCAACTTCTATCAAAGACTCTCTGAAGGGGATTGGAATTTTGATGGCGGATTAAAACATGTGTTTTGGTGAGTACCAAGCGTTGTAGTTGGATGAATAAAATTTCTTCACTCTTAATCAGATATTCTAAGTTTTGAAAATGATTTTTTTTTTTAGTAAGGAGTATTTAATGAGCTTTACGCGACGTAAATCCCCATAACTAGAAGCTCTAAAGCGGATAATGAACACCAAGTAGAAAATAAATAATAATAATAATAATAATAATAATAATAATAATAATAATAATAACATGTGCTCTGGTGTTTAATTAAGAAATCTTAAAGTTAAAAAGTCGACTTTATAAAGTAAGTGTCAATTTCTGTATTGTCTCTTTTATATAATACTCTATTAGATTTAGAGTGGATTTTCATTTGCAACTTCATCTACATTGTATAGTGGGAGTCGCTAATGTCATTCGAGTAATTTATTTTATCCAATACAACCTTTCTCTTCGTATTGGAAGATACAAAGTATATATTAAAATATACTGATCAATACAGGGTGCCAAACAGCTGACTATCCAATCAAATGAGTATCTTGTACATGCCTCTAAATGTAACACCAAATCACCCTCAACAAAAGTTATTCAGCCTCCAATCGAAATATTTGACTTATTGCCTAAAATGACGAGTTTTTATTTCCATATCAACCAAACTGATATACAAATTTAATAAATTGTTTACCATTATTTCAATTTTGATACATATTTTAGTGTCTGTATAGTATTAGAGTGATATAAAAAACTTATATGACTTACTGCTTTTTCTGTTTATAAAGAATGTAATGTAAAAAACTCTTTAACTTTAATTATCGACTATACCCGTAATGACACCCCTATAACAATAGAAACGTTATGATATCTGACATTACAAGTTCTAAGATACTTTAGGTATGTGCCAAAAGTCTTTAGATTTCATGTGCAATCAAACACAATTATAAATTAAAATAAAACAGAGGGATATAAGATCTTAATTCATTGAGTAAGGTAATGCAAAGACTGATAAGGTCGAGGGCCCAAACGACTGAGAATGGCATTTGGTGTACCAGCTAACGCAAGCATAAACGCAATAACAAGACTCAGAACTCAGAATAGTAGCTTCGTTTCCAATTCCATTCCTTGTGCAACTATAAAGATAGTAAAATCTTTAACTCTGAACGCCCCACTTAGGCCTTAATCGTTTAGTATTAGGGGAACAATACTCCCTTCACCTTTTGAATGAGAAAGGGAAGCCTCTTTGACCTAAAATCAACCAAAATGAATTAATTGTTGCCGGTGCTTGCAAACTATTATTATTGTCTCTAGTCGATTGTGGTTGTTAAAAAATCTTCTTTTTTTCAGATATAAACGGATCTGTCACATCTCAATTAGACAAAACAAAAAGACACTCCATTCAACTGGAATCCGTCTCTAGTCTGCTTTTACACAAACGTACCAAACATTAGTTTGATTAAAATGTAATGGAAGCACTATTTCCAGTATTTATGAACTAGCTGGTACCTCTTGAACCTGCAAGCAACTGATTTGTCAATTCATTCTTATTAATTGTACACACTAACAAATCTGTATCAAAGCAATCTTTCGGCAAAATATGACATTCTGATCCAAAACAAGAACCTTCAACAGATCAGGTACGATTTAAGAATGGATTACCATAAACAAAAATCGACACCTGTAACCATACTAACAGGCAGGAGACAATTAAACTTCAGTGCAGTCAGTAAATTACTGCAAATGACCTGGGATGCCTCTCCCCATCCACTGTTTTGTATTATTAAGAACACAACAACAAAAATCTATTCAGCAGAGCAAGCATCTAAATCCCGGCAAGGAGGAGCCTTAGGTTCACCTAATAATGTAGTGTTTCCTCCTTCCGGTCCACAATTGATACGACCTGGGTTTTGAGTGCCACGCTGAAACATCAAAAGCAAGCCGATCAACAATGCAGTAATATCTATGCACAATAAAATTAGTGTATGTAACAGTCATCTTACCTGTGGTTTTTCACCTTTCCTGAATGCCTCGACAATCTCTACAGCTCTCTTTGGAGTCAGATCCTCCTGCAGAAAGGAAGGAGAGGCCAATTGAGCTCGAAATACTTATCAGTACAAGACTAAACAACCGATAAAAACAGGATTAAAGTAATAACTCACATAATAATTGTATTTATATCCTTCAGATCCATTGGAATAGTCGGCCACCGTCATCATTGGAGCATTTACACAGCACCCCTACCACAAAAATGAGGTACAACATTGAAATGGTTATATTTCAAATAAGCAACGACTCGAATTGTGTTCAACATTATGGAACAAATATAATCATCTAATCACTGGTTCCTTGCTGAAGAGCTTCCAATGCATGGAAAGTTAGAAGGATGTCACAGTAGTTTAAACAACACTAATAGTCTTCCCACTCTTTCAACTAGATTAAGAAAACAACAACCCCCACCAAAACAAACTCTCCCTTTAGTTTTATCAAGTCGTCCTTCATAGTAATGTCCCTTATACTATCATTAAATTAAGCTTAAATTGGGAATATAAAAGTAGTGTGCCAATTTACCTGTCAATCCAACTATCTTTTCCCCCACTGTTCACAAAATAGTAGAAAGTAAAAAAGATGATTTCATCTCTAAAGACCAAGGACCTGATCAAGAGTGGGATTATCAGAAAGCAACATGGGATAAGTTTGCTTTTTACACGTCTAATGCAAGGACCTCTCAATAGCAATAGCTAAGCCTAACCATTAAATCCCCATAGTCATATAGAGAGAAAATCTCCACAGGATCTGAACAGCAATTTTAATTAACTCATGTGACAGTTGGATTTTTTTGGCACTTCTCATGCCTTCTTTACCTCTATTTTAAAATTGTCTTCTGATGGAAAAGCATAACTTTTCATTGAACAGTAGGTATCACCTTTTCACTTCCAGAATTGTATCTTATGCCTTCACAAAATTGGTTAGTGGACCTAAGCTAGTCTTAACAAGGTTTTAAGATGAGGGTTTACGCAAAAGCTAGAGGCAAAGACAAAGTCATTTAATACCCCACTTACTGATACCTTCTCTCCCTTTACTTTAGTTACAGGAGGAATCATTGTGTATCCGTCCAAATAATTTGCTTGTGTTTGTTCATATCTCCATGCACACCATTATATACTGAAGTTCCAATCCACAACCACAGACCTCTGTGGGTTATCATGTTACCCAACGTAGTTAGAAGGCCAGTTTCTACCTGCATTAATAAATTATGGTTGACTGGTTGTCACACGATATGTTTCTACCTGCTAACCAGACAAGAGCACAATGTACCCATTTAGACCAAGAATTAATATGCCTAGTGATATAGTAACCGAAGGACCATGAACATGGGATGAACGAATGAAGAAGCAAAGCAGGTTTTGGGCACTTTGCAGTTATATCAATCCTTGGTTTAGCACAACAAACATCAGGACGTTACAAGGTCTCACTTCAGTTCAACTTTAACACATCAAAACACTTATGTGACCACTTGAGCTTCGACCAATGAGGTGATGACACACATGTATGCACATAAACTTGAGCACTAGAGGGCAAAAGTGATAGAAATTGGCTTCTTACGACGTCTTCTATCTTTGTGTTTTCTAGAAACCACCCAAGCTCTTCTAACATAGCTGTAGTATTCCCAGGAATCTTTTCAAAACTTAGATGGCAATTTGAAGATCCTTTTGTCTTCTTTCTTCATGTTGAGCCCGTGGCATGTGCTAGACTGTTAGATGAACTATATCCTGATTGAATCTAGTTTCTCCATAATTTCTCCATAAGCCAGCGCTCACACAAGCAAATAATGCCTTATCATGGCTGATCTCAATCATGATCGCGGGTTCATCAAGCACAAAACAATTGGGTTTTGAAACTGGCAGTTAGAAAGTCTCCCTGTGGAGAAGGCACAAATACATGGGACAGGTTTGAGCTGCGAGTCCACAAGCGTGTGATTCACCTTTTCAATTCTGCAGATGTTGACAAGCAGATCGCCTAAATCACCATTGAACCTGGTGTTGAGGTAGAGGTCACCATTGCTAATTCTAGATTCTTCACTGTTCTGATTACAACAACAACAACAGCAACAACTACCAAGTGAAATCCCACAAAGTGGGGTCTGGGGAGGGTAATGTGTACGCAGACCTTACCCCTATCCCGATAGGGCAGGGAGGCTGTTTCCGATAGACCCTCGGCTCAGAAAGACGGAAATAAAAAAAAACAAGAAAAGACAATTCATTAGTAACTCCAGTAGAAACCGTAATAGTAACAGAAGCATAACAACCAACAGATAAATGACATGCAATAACAGTAAGCAGTATCTAAGGCCCGGGGCTAAGATAAACAGGATAGTGTGGACTCAACATAAACTGCAAGCCATCTAAGATCAACCCTAATCCAACCCCGCCTCACCCCGGGTATGAAGTAAGGAAAGCTCTACTACCCCCTAACCTACAACCCTAATGCTTGACCTCCAGACCTTCTTATCAAGGGTCATGTCCTCGGAAATCTGCAGTCGTACCATGTCCTGCCTGATCACTTCTCCCCAATACTTCTTAGGCCGCCCTCTACCTCTTCTCGTACCCACCACGGCCAACCGCTCACACCTCCTCACCGGAGCATCAAGGCTTTTCCTCCGCACGTGCCCGAACCATCTGAGCCTTGCTTCCCGCATCTTGTCATCCACATGGGCCACGCCCACCTTCTTCCGAATATCTTCATTCCTAATCTCGTCTATCCTAGTGTGCCCGCACATCCATCTCAGTATCCTCATCTCTGCTACCTTCATTCTCTGGATATGGGAGTTCTTAACCGGCCGACACTCTGCCCCATACAACATGGCCGGTCTAACCACAGCTCTATAAAACTTACCTTTGAGTATCGGTGGTACTTTCTTGTCACACAAGACTCCAGATGCAAGCCTCCATTTCATCCAGCCCGCCCCTACGGTAAGTGACGTCCTCGTCGATCTCTCCGTCCCCCCTGAATCACCGACCCAAGGTACTTGAAGCTATCACTCTTGGGGATGACCTGTGATCCAAGCCTCACGTCCCTGCCTACTTCCCTCGACTCAGCGCTAAACTTGCACTCCAGGTACTCTGTCTTAGACCTGCTCAATTTGAAACTCTTAGACTCGAGGGTGTGTCTCCAAACCTCCAACCTCTCGTTAACACCGACCCTCGTCTCATCAATTATAACTATGTCATCAGCAAATAACATACACCATGGCACATCCCCTTGAATATGATGTGTCAGTGCATCCATCACAAAGGCAAATAAGAACGGGCTAAGCGCAGAGCCTTGGTGTAATCCCATAACAACCGGGAAATGCTCCGAGTCGCCTCCCACAGTCCTAACCTTAGTCTTAGCTCCATCATACATGTCCTTGATCGCTCTTATGTAGGCTACCGGCACGCCCTTTGCTTCAAGACATCTCTAGAGCATCTCCCTATGGACCTTGTCATACGCTTTCTCCAAGTCAATAAACACCATGTGCAGATCCTTCTTTTTATCCCTGTACTGTTCCACCAACCTCCTAATAAGGTGGATAGCTTCCGTAGTGGAGCGACCCGGCATGAACCCAAACTGATTGTCGGATATAGCCGTCGTCTTCCTCACCCTCACCTCCACCACCCCCTCCCAGACTTTCATATGGCTTAGTAACTTGATACCCCTATAATTGTTACAACACTGGATATCACCTTTGTTCTTGTACAACGGTACCACTGTACTCGACCTCCACTCCTACGGCATCCTCCTCGTCCTAAAAATTACATTGAACAACCCAGTCAGCCACTCCAATCCTGCTCTACCCACACACTTCCAAAACTCAACCGGAATTTCGTCTGGCTCGGTCGCTCTACCCCTACTCATCGTACGCAAAGCCCCCACGACCTCTTCCGCCTTAATGCACCTGCAATACCTAAAATCTCGGAGACTCTCCGAATGCCCCGAATCCCCTAGCGCTATATCCCGGTCCCCCTCCTCGTTTAGGAGACCATAGAAGTACGTTTGTCATCTCTGCTTAATCTGGGACTCTCCCATCAATACTCTACCATCCTCGTCTTTGATGCACCTTACTTGGTCCAGATCCCGGGCCTTACTCTCCCTCGCTTTAGCCAGCCGAAACAACTTCTCGTCCCCGCCTTTCTCCCTCAATTCCTCGTATAGACGACCAAACGCTGCATTCTTAGCCTCCGTGACCGCCAACTTTGCCTCCTTCCTTGCCACCTTGTACCTCTCTCTATTCGCTCTCCTCTCCTCCTCGCTTGTGCTCCCTGCCAACTTCGCGTACGTTACCTTCTTTGCCTCCACTTTACCTTTGACTACGTCATTCCACCACCAGCGCCTTGATGCCTGCCAGAAAAACCCTTCAATATCCCTAGCACCTCCCTCACCGCCTCCCTCGCGTAGTTCGCCGTCGTTGACCACATAGTGCTCGCGTCTCCACTACTCCTCCAAGCTCCCATAGCGGATAACCTCTCCTCCAACTCCTGGGCTTTATCCTTGGTTAAAGCTCCCCATCTAATCCTCGATCGGCCACGAGCATACCTCTTCTTCCTCTTCATCATAATGCCGATGTCCATCACTAAGAGCCTATGTTGAGTCGCGAGGGTCTCTCCCGGGATAACCTTGCAATCCTTGCACAACCCTCTATCACACTTTCTGAGGAGAAGGTAATCAATCTGAGTCTTCACCGCCGAACTTTGGAAAGTAACCAGATGCTCCTCCCTCTTCGGAAAAGTCGAGTTCGCAATCACCAGCTCGAACGCCTTAGCGAAATCTAATAGCGAAGTGCCTCCTCCGTTCCTATCCCCAAGGCCAAAGCCACCATGCACCTCGCCGTAGCTACTAGCAACCGACCCAATATGGCCATTAAAATCCCCTCCAATAAATAACCTTTCAGTAGGTGGAATACTACGCACAATCTCGTCCAAACCCTCCCAAAAGCGCCTCTTAACCTCCTCATCTAAGCCCGCTTGCGGCGCGTAAGCGCTAACGACATTGAGGGTGCACTCACCAATCACCAACTTAATAAACATTAGCCTATCATTCACTCGCCTAACCTCAACCACAGACTCTTTAAGATCCCTATCCACCAAGATACCTACTCCATTCTTACCCCTCACGACTCCAGAGTACCACAACTTATACCCGTCCGCATTCCTCGCCTTCGACCCTGCCCACCTAGTCTCCTAGACACAAGCTATATTAACCTTCCTCTTCTGGAGAATCTTCGCCAACTCAATAGACTTACCCGTCAGCGTGCCTATGGTTTGGAGCTTCTTTCTTGGCCGCCCAATTATGGGCTTAAGGTCTTGAGACCAAGTGTGTTAGAGGTTTTTATTCCAATTAAAGTTTTGCTGGTAAAGATACTAGTATTTGATATGAGGAATGAAGATTTTTGCGTTCTTATTGGATAATTGACTGCAGGTATTGTCTTTTTCTAGATGAATGATCACTGACTACTGATATTATTGGATTAAAAAACATCAACATTTCTTTCAAAATGCCATAGAAGCAGGCTTGCTCGCGATTAAGAGTGCATATGCATCATAATCTACAAGACACGTTTATTATAAGAAGTTAAGAACAACTATAACCAAGGCAGCAAGCTGAGAAAATCTCTGATGTCTTATTATATTTGCCTTACAAGCTACAAAAAAGCAAAGTGCCTGTCATCCAACATTAAAGATAAGCCGACTTCTACTTTCCTTAATTTGGTTACTACTAGTCACAAATCACAAGCATGGTCATGTGGTCATGTGATTTATTGGATACTCCCTCCATTTCATATTATATGAGGTAGTTTGACTCGACACGGAGTTTAAGAAAAAAGAAGAAGACTTTTGAACCTTGTGGTCTTAAAAGCTTAAGGGGTGGGGCCATGACATTTGTGTGGCTATAAAAGCTTCTCATTAAGGGTAAATGGGTAAAAAGAAAGAGTTTAAAGTTGAATTATTTCTAAATTTAGAAATGTGTCATTTGTTTTGGAACGGACTAAAAAGGAAAGTACCTCATTTAATATGAAACGGAGGGAGTAATAGTTAAGCATAACAAACACCAATCTCAGCATCAGATCTTAGGGTTGGAAAGCAAATAAGCCTAAAATAGTTCACAAAAGCTATCACATAGACATGCTGTCAAGGCCATAAAAAGAAACAAGGTCAACATCAATAAGATGTATGAAAAATGAATAGTTCACAAAAGCTATCACATAGACATGCTGTCAAGGCCATAAAATAAAAAAAAGGTCAACATCAATAAGATTTACGAAAAATGACTCACCATGCATTCCATTTCACCAACAGAAAATAAGCCATCCTTGGTTACTTCTGCATACACGAAGAAGCCATGTCCCAGAATAAGAACGTCTCAACAATAGGAATATTAGATGAATTAACAAATAAAGATGGAAATATCTCCATACAGCACGGACCATTGCGCTTTACTCCCAGGTGCTTCAGTATAGCCTCTTCGATACCTCTTGAACCACGGATCATACAAGGTGTTGTGCCACAAACCAAAAGGTGGTATTTGCCAACCTAAAGGATGAAAATTTGAGTAAGCTATGCTAAGTAAAAATTGGTTTTCGATTTCTGCACTTGCACAAGCCAAAATGTCAAGAAAACTACTCACTTTTGTCCTGTTGAACATCGTGTAGAAGGTTGCTACCTCAAATACACGAATTGGGGCGACTTCAATAACCTTAGCCACCTTAAACATTTAGAAGACCAGATTAGATACTTTTGAATGCCAGTTAGACATAGAACGAAAATTTATTGAACAAATAACCCCTGATTAAGTAAAGGCAATTTTACATCGTGCTAATTTTAAGACTAATACAAGGAAAATGAAGGTTGAGTAATATGAATATCAAGTTAATACACATGACAAACAACACAAATATTGTTGTGGCAAGAACTAAAGCTCAATTCTTTCTAGCAATCAAATGCTGATTAATTGTATATAAGTGCACTAAGGAATTTCAATATTTTATAGTGGCAACCCTTAAAAATTCCGATCCTTGGGCCTCAGGCCACAAACTTTATAATAAGGCAAAAAGTGCACGAATCAATCTAAACATTGTCAACATACTGCATTCATCGCCGAAACAGGAAGCCACCCTCCATTTTGCTGCTGTGCAAGATCCAGCAAAGGAATCACTGCAGATTGCTTATAGTTGGATGGATAGAAAGACAATATCTCCTTCACCTGTGGATTGCATGGGAGGATTAAGTAGGATTCAAGATAGAGAATAAGCAATTTAAGGAAGAACTACCAATTATAAAGACGTGTACGAGTCAATTTAAGTACACTACTATGAAAATCCTCTGAAATTGAAGCTAATCATGATTCAAAGGCCATTTCAAAAATCTCCATTCTAGTTATACCCTATGTACTAACAAACAAACTGCTCTATGATGCATGAAGTTTTGCAGAATACTTTTTTTTTTCGTTTGATAATTCTACAAGTGAATTATGACACCTGCTGAAGAATGCAAGATGTTGATATTTCTGTCTTTTGCAATTTTGGTGTCAATGCATCAGGGAATGCAATATGTCTCGAACAACATCAATCACCTACTTTCATGCTATTTTCCTTTTATTTGTGATTGCCTCTTTTCATATTTTTTTTCTTCGAGTTTTGTTTTGGCTGGGTATGGAGAACCAGCTTTGACCATTTAGATTCTTTTAAAAAAAAAAAACATTTTTCTTTCATTCATTTCCAAATAAGAAACTAAGTTTCAAACGCTCAATTAGACAATCTTCTCATGTGGATGCAACTTGAATTTATGTCGTAAGGTGGATCATTTCAAAGTTCTGTTATTCATTTCCAGGTAACAACAGCTCTCAATTTTCACATACATACTGTAAGAAAAAGAGAACACGACTAGCAAAGAATCAAACTTTTGATGTATTAGGGAGTGGAGCTACGAGAATTTAAATAATGTTATAAGTCATATAAAAAAGAAGTACTAGATTTCGGTAACTCTTGAGGATAATAAGCAATGCTAACCTTTTCCTTGTTTGTATCGTTAAACTCCCAAGGAAGGTCTGGATTGTTGTCCGGCGAATCAATGTGCTGCGTACAATCGAAAATAAAAACAAGCAAAAACATAAACACGCAATCGAATGCTCAAATTTCGAATCTGAACTCAGAACTCGGAAATACAAATCTGATAAGAACTCACATAGTTGAGTGCAGTCGAAAAAGATCGCGATGCCTGAAAATCACGGGAAAATAAGAAGAGACTTTGACTAAAAGGAAGCAAGAGCTAATCCGAATAACAAAAAGAAGAATTTCTAAGTGAATACGAAAATATGATGTAATAGGGGATTATACCTGAGGAGTTCGACGGAAGGCCGTGCGGATCTCGTTCAGGCGTTGTGCAGAGAGGCGAGCGAACATTTTTGGTCTCCGGCGATTATCCGAGCAGACGGAGGTCGGAGAAAATGGAGATTTTGGGGCAGCGAGGTAAAATGGAGAAATCCGAAGTCTCACCAAGAAGGTTTTGCGTGCCACACACGTCCCTTGTTCGCGTGTTCTCAGCAAGGCCATAAACCGGCAGGCCCATGAGAATTGGACATGAGTTGGATGTTTTGTTCTCGTTTTGTTGGGCCATAAGACATGTTTGGGCTTATTGTTCCAAGAAAAAAGTGGTGATTTTTAAAAATAGCCAGATTTACAACTGGTCGTTCAAACATAGCCCAATTTCAAAAGTAATCGAAATTTAGCCACTTTTTATGTAAAGATAAATCTGAGCGAAAACACTGTTCAAAACCCGGAAAATACTCCAGTATATTATGCTGGAGTTCCAGCATAAGTATACTTGAACTCCAGCATATTATACTAGAGTTCCGGGATAGTATGCTGGAACTCCAGCATAATATGATGGAGTTCCAGCATAAATACACTAGAACTCCAGCATAATATACTGGAGTTCCAGCAAGTATAATGGTCCAGTATATTATACTGGAGCCAGCAAAGTATACCGGTCCAGCATAATATGCTGGAGTTCATAAACAAGTGCATCGAAACTCTAGTATATTATGCTGGACCGGTCTCTATTACAGCAAAACGGTGGCTATTTTTCATTGACTTGGTAAACGCTGGCTAATTTTGATTGACCAGTCCGAAAACTGGCTATACCGTGCAATTTTGGTAGAAAAAAGGCAAAAATACACAGCAAGTCACTTTTTAAAAAATATTTAAGAAAATAATACTACTCTTTGTTTTTTCCATAAATGACAAACTTTTTTACACTAATGGCAGATAGAGATTATGAAACATAATTAATGAGCACCTACAACGCACTAATTATATATTTATCTTTCACACTCTCTCTCCTATTTTACAATAGGGATTCAGTCTCTCTCTTCTTTAACCGTTACACTCATTTTATTCATTCAATCATGATGAAACTAATATTACATATTCAATTATTCATTATATATATATTTGGTATAAATTTGTAGAGAAATTCTGTGTACACTATTTTATTAATATAGGGGAAAAGGTAATATATATGGTATAACTCAATTATATTATATCTTTGTTGAAGTATAGTATTATATATTCCCGATATAATTCATTTCTAGAGGTATACTAATGTATTTATATATATAGTATAATTCAATATGTGTTATAATGGTATTAAGGTATTATATTACATATACTTGGTATAATATTTTTTGGTAGAAACGCCATGCATTCAAATATTAATGTAAGAAAATACCTTCTGTGACCTTTTTAAGAATATACCATTTTAATGAGAAATACTATGTATACTAAGGTGGTAGTATACCTTTGATCTTTTTAATAAGAAAATACTCCCTGGTATAATCATGATATAAAATTACATGGTTTAATATATATATATATATATATATATATACACACACACACCCACCTCAAATATATACTTTATTTTTCTTGAAACATATGTATTTTATTTTTTTCAAAATATAAAGATATATTTTCACTGGAGTTTATGTTGAATATAAAGGTACATGTACTTTTTTATCTAGTAAAATATTCATGTATGGAAAGTAGAAAATATGTTATGGAATGAATTAGTTTCCAATAAAAACATAGGAAAACATATTACCATTTAAATATGTTAGGGATTGTTTTAAGAGAAAATATTGGAAAAGATGTTAAAAAGTACTAAGAACATTTTCATTAAGGAAATAAATGGATTGGGTGCGTGATTATAGGTACATGGTTTAAAGGTGACGGTTAGAAATATAATTATTTAATTGCCATGTGTGTAAAATAGCTATTACTGCTACGTTTCTGGAAATTTTCCTTAAATTTTGCCTATTTATGTTTTTTGCTGGCATGGCACGACAACACGTAAAGAGAATTGACAATATTTTAGCCCTATATTAGGTTTGGCAAAGGTAACCCCAAAAAATTGGCATTATATAGCCAAATTCTAAATAACCCTAGTTTCTTATTTATTCTCTCTCCCCGTATTTTTTCTTCTCTCTCCCCGTATTTCTTCTCTAATCTTTTCTTTTTCTTCTTCTTCTTCTTCTTCTTCTTCAATCTAGCAAATTTTGTTCTTCAATCTGTATTTGGAAGGGCATGTGTTCTTTGATAATCTTTGGGAAGTTGTAATGGTTGATACATCTTTCAGAAATATTATGGGTTCATGGAGATGAGGAGAAGCGAAGAGCGAACGCTTTTGCGGATAGTAAAGGGACCGATTGACACTGCCATAATAGACACAATCCTAATGTAAACCCATTTGGTTTCTCGTGTCTCCAGTACAATCCAAATTGAACAAATAGAAAGTTCCTCCAACTAATTTGAAAATAGATGTTTTCTTGTGAATTTTCTTGTGTTATTTGTCACATGGCCAATTTTTGGTGTTGATGGGTGAATTCATCCTCATTCTTGCAAATTATGCAAAACAAAATAAGTGGGGATGAAAAGGTAAGGTTGATATCACATCAGAGAAAATCAGAAGCAAAAACTAAGAGAGAAAAAAATACATTTCAACTTTGTTTTCTTCTCTCTTCTCTTTTTTGGTTGGATTGAACGAGTGGTGTGATTGAAATTGGTTGAAAATACCTAAACGAAGCTATATAAAAAATTTGAAAAAGATTAGAAATGATTTACACTGGTTTCAAGTAAAAAATCAGGCCTAAAAATCCAAATGCGACATGTGTATATCATGTTGTATATCGTGTACATCGGTGTATATCACACATAAGTTTTTAAGGACGTCTGTGTATATCACTTCGTATATCGTGTATAAAACATAATTTTTTTATGGACGCCCGTGTATATTATATTGTATATCGTATATATAACACTATACAGATAAACATGATATACATGAGATATCACTGATATACATGAGATATATTGTACGCTGAGATATACAAAAAAGAAAAAAATTGATTTACATCTTAATATATACAAAGACGGAAGATAAAGGTGAGATATACATTTTGATATACACATTATTTGATGTGTTATACATAGTGATATACAAACAACACAATTATGTTTGTGTTGTAAACTTGGATATAAACACAACAATAAATGATAAACAATTATATTTATAATTTCATATTTTAAATATAACAAAGAAGGAAATACGATTTTGATATACATAAAAAGAAAATTAAGATTGTAATATACATTTTATTGTTGTGATATACATTTACTGGCTACTTGATGCCAATAAATGAAAATGGGTCAATTCTAGCCAATTAGCAGACTGAGTTGATATACGGTGCCAAATGAAAAAATGGCATGGCATGACAACACGTAAAGAGAATTGGAAATATTTTAGCCCTATATTAGGTTTGGCAAAGGTAACCCCAAAAAATTGGCATTATATAGCCAAATTCTTTTTTTTTTTGGTAAGAAAGATAGGCAATATTATAACATAACAAACTTACATAAGGTTAGAGCGGTGGATGCCTACAAGGCATCATTTGTACAAAAGGATCCTTAGATGATAGATTTCCCCATACCGGGGTAGCAAAACTAGATATGAGAGCAGAAGCTACTAAAGTAGGTTGTTTAGTACATACGGTAGAATTTACATAACTAGAACTACTAGACTGCCGAGTCTTCCGGGGATGGAGTATGCCCTGATGATCTTGATGGTAATAAGACTGTGCAAAAAGTGGTGGTAATTCAAAAAGTAGGCATTGCTCCTGGACATACATTGCACCATATTTAGCGAGTGTGTCTGCTACACCGTTCTGCTCTCTATAGATAACTTGAACAGATGCTCTATCCAGCTGTTAGAGTAATGACCTGCAATCAGTAACAATGTTAATACAGTTCAAGGCAGGTGAGTTTAACATACCAAGCACATTTTGTGCATCCGTCTCAATAATGAGTGGCAGTAGATTTTGTTTGGCAGCAATCTGTAAGCCTTTGAGGAGGGCTAGCAATTCTATTTGGGTAGGGCTGCCTTGTTGGACACCTCCTGCAAATCCTATGATCCAATTGCTTTGATGGTCGCGTATGACTCCTCCAATCCCATAATTACATTGAGTGTGACGGCAAGATCCATCAACATTTAATTTATAATACATAGAGTCAGGTGGATGCCACTTGATATATATAGGAGTCTTTAATAACTTTTTATTAGAGTGGTTAGTTAGGAAGTAGTATTCAGCTGCTTTTGCTATTAGAGCAGCCCCATGTAAGTCATTAAACTTATTTTCAAAGACAAACTTATTTCTTTTTGTCCAGATTTCCCATAGAGCAAAAGGAAGTATGATGGTTGGAGGAATATTGTAAGGAATAAAAAATAGAGGTATGTGGAGAAAAGTGTATATCCAAGTAATAATGTCAGTCAGCGAAGGAGAAGCTATGAAGGATGGGGGTGCTATTTTAAGATGTTCCCAGAAATTTATTGTGTTAGCACAGCGTTGGAATAAATGAGGGATTGTTTCACTCTCCTTGTGACATTGTTGGCAAATTGCTGAGGTGGTAATCCCAATTCGTGTGAGATACTCATTTGCTGGTAGTCTATTATGGCAAACTACCCAAATGAAAAAAGCAATTTTGTGTGGAATGGGGAGCCGCCAAATCCAGTTGAAGGAGGGAGATTGGCTTATAGTACCAGACGGATTCGTAATTGTCAAGCAGTTGTACATCGATTTAACTGAGAACATCCCATTCTCAGTTAGATTCCAGTATAATTTATCATAAGTGTTAGGTTGGGTAGGCAGGTAAATATTCTTAATAAGATTAAGTATTTGTGAAGGCAACTCAAAAGGGATAATGTCCATGTGCCATCTATTATCAAAGTAATAGCTGGAAATTGATTTGGTAATCTCAAATTGAGGCATTGGGCCATGAATATGTTCTCTAAGTGTAAAGTTATGACGGATCCAAGGGTCCGTCCAAAATTTGATATTATTTCCCGTTACAATATTCCATTTATAGCCAAGACGACACAATTTCCAGCCATTAATAATATTGCGCCAAATGGGGGAACTTTGGTATGCATTAATAGATTTATACCTAGCATATTTGGTCACTAAGACTTGTGCCCATAACCCATGGGGATGATGAAACAT